CTCCCTTGATGGTCCCAGGGACCTCCGCTCCTAGGCTGAAAAGTTAATCACTCCCCTCCTTGCTACAAAACGTCTACCTTTACATTTCCAACCCTTACAAGCAGTCCTGATAATAATTATTCACTATTGTATCACAAGAGACATATCCGCGTTTCCTTTCATCAGCCCCGCCTAGACAGATTGTGTTCTACTCAGTGGAGATTCTACCTTCCTTCATGCCCTGTGAATCTAGGTTCCCTCTTGAAAGCTTGTAAACCAGTCACTTCTTGCCTTTGTAGCCTCTCCATTTTGGGTAGCCAATGTCCAAGTTGCCCATCCCTGTCTACTCTGTGTGTGGAGGGGGTGGGAATGATCCTTGCTCTAAGGATTTGTTCCCTCTTTTGAGAAGAAGCTGTAAACTTTTATGGGAGTAGAAAGCCTCGTCTTTCTCCCTCAGAGACACTGGTAGATTAAAAATGCTGACTTTGCTGTTTGCAGCCCAGCTCATAATCCACTACATTACTAGAGCTCCTTAGTGTAGAATAAGGGTAGAAAATGGCAGATCACATTAACTGGCCAAGGGTCTGCTCAGTCCTACCTATCAATTTCAGAGTATTCTTTTTTTTTCAATTGTTAGAAACTCTGAGAATTTTTTAAGGAATAAGACCAACTGACCAAAGCTTTTGAAAACCAACAATGCTATAGTCAGGATCACAAGCAAATGGGCCAGATGGGCAGAGTTAAGCAGTGCCCACTCCTTTCCATGTGCCCCTCCTTCCATCTGTCACGCAGGGTCACCTACCCAGAGGCTCACAGCCATCAGCTTTATAAACCACCCTTCCCCAAGTATGGTACTGTAGGATAAGCACTGGTCTGCTAACTGCAATCTAATCACAATGGTGGTGGTTCAAACCCACCAGCCATTCCTTGGAAACCCTATACAGGGTTGCTATGAGTTGGAACAGACTCAATACCACTTAACAACACAACAACAACAACAACAGCTGCATTCAATGAAAACTGCTTGAATGACACCTCATTCTTGCCACGCTAGGTCCATGTGCCTTCAAGGAAGCTTCAAGCTTATGCATAAACTAGAGTTCTAGATCTGGATCACCATAGATCAAGTCCAGTGTTTCCCAAAGTGTGTGCCATAACATGAGGAGAGTTTCACAG